TTGAATCAGTTACTCGTTTATATTTATCAGTAATTGCGTTGAGATAGAAGGAATCCGGTTATCGTGTTTCAGAGATTTTTTACTGAGAATCCGCTTAGGAGCATAATATATGAGAGCGTAATGCCCTGGTACGTTTGCCAGAAAGCCATTAGGATTCCCGTTCACTTATTCTACGTTTACAGTTTCCATGAGCCTCAGCGAGTTGGTAGCTTAGTAAAGCAGTGCCATTGTAAACTGTAAAACGCATTTGAGTGGTATACAACTACTTGGTGTCCGTCATCTTTGGCTACTGTAATTAGGAGATTAATTAACGCTAAATTTTACAGCAAAACTAATCCTGTAAATGGTATAAGCAGAGTTTGCATCGAGATTTGCATGTCTTAGAAACGTGTGAGTATTGCTTTTTTAATCATTCAATAAATATAGGCTGCGTAGATATCTTGGTAATAACGCTAAGAATGTTTGAAATGTGCTGATTTATTAACCTTTCAATGCCTATTTGGACTGAAATATGAAAGAACCGTTTTAGCAGAATTCATAAATTCGGATGAAAGAATGGAGTTGACGGCAAATGTTGCGAATGAGAACATAAAGATGAAACCTTCGTAGATATGGGTTAGTAAAGTGAAGGCATACACCTGAACAGTAAACTGATTTAGGTTATGCTGATGTTTCAATCTACACTCGTCGATAAAATATGGGTGATATGGTTAGCAGTGTTTAGCTAAAGAGAGTCTGGACCATTGAGTTTATTGTTGTCATTGTACACGAGCAATCTTATTCCGGGCCAGTCCTCTAGCATATCTTCATTTCCTGGTCCATTTCTTTACGCCGTGTTTTGCTCCCTTTTGCTATTTCATAATAGTTTACACCGCACTAATTCTAACCCGTTCGCCTTTACGGTAAGCTGAGTAGGCCACGACAGCAGTTTAATAAAGCATGCAGTGGTCAATGAAGCCACTTTAACCACCGCTACTTCGTCGTTTCGCAGTTGAACCGATATCCGGAAGTCGATTTATTGATGCATGAGTGATCTGTTGAAGTTAGTAGTGCCAAATTTTTGAATAAAGAGTGACTGACTGCGATGCCAGCATGTAAAAATTAGTGCAAACAGCTTTTCATACAGTGGAACATCCCCATTTGTGAAGTCATCCAAAACAGTTACAAAGAAGAAGAAATTATATTCTGTGTTGGCATGGGACAAACGAGTATGTATTGTCCTGAATCAACCATTATTAGTGAATTGAGCAGTTGGGCAAGTGACAAAAGCTACCAGCAGTTAACCACATATCCCGATGTCCAAATACGTTTGAAATACGTGATTGGGCATGCGTTATACAGAATAAAAACTGCTGCTACTTCTCTTTTGGTGTCTTAACTCCTTATAGCGATGCGCTTCAGTAATTTTAATATCAAGCAATTCGTTTTAGTAACGGAAGCAGCCAAAAGAAGAGGCTTTTCAGTGGTTCATGTCCTTTATCAAATG